TATTTCTGTCTCTGGCTGCTTTTAACAGTCTGTCCTTATCCTTGATCTTTCCCATTTTAATTACTATGTGTCTTGGTGTTGTATTCCTTGGGTCCCTTGTGTTGGGAGATCTGTGGATCTCCATGGCCTGAGAGACTATCTCCTTCCCCATACTGGTGAAGTTTTCAGCAACTACCTCCTCAAATACACTTTCTATCCCTTTCTCTCTCTCTTCTTCTTCTGGTATCCCTATAATGCGAATATTGTTCCTTTTGTATTGGTCACACAATTCTCTCAATATTCTTTCATTCTTAGATATCCATTTTTCTCTCTGTGCCTCAGCTTCTTTGGTTTTCTCTTCTCTAGATTCTAGAGAAATATCCTCCACCATATCCAACCTGCTTTTAATACCCTCCATCATGCTCTTCAACGATTAGATCTCTGACCTGAATTCATTCCTGAGTTCTTGGATGTCTTTCCATACCTCCATTAGCATGTTGATGATTTTTATTTTGAACTCCCTTTCAGGAAGATTCACGAGGTCCATATCATTTAAATCTTTCTCAGGAGTTGTATTAATAATTTTACTCTGGACTAGGTTTCTTTGGCGTTTCATATTTGTATATGGCACTGTCTAGTGTCTAGAACCTCTATTCTGGAGCTACTCAGCCCCTGAAGCAATGTTGGGGGTCGCAGGGGAGCGGTATTGGTGCCTGGGGGGAGGAAAGAGCTGTTCCCTGCTTCCTGGCTGCTGTGCCTGTCTCCACTGCCTGAACCACTGGGCCGAGCACACAGATATGAGCTTTTGTCCCAGAGCATCCGGATATGGATCCCTGCTTTCCACAAGCGGCTGGAATCCCAGTCTCCCCAGGAACTCGGCCTGTATTAATTTTCCAACCCGGTAGTCATGCGAGTCTCGTGAAAGCACCATGAAATGTAGGTTTGTGCTCCCAGAGCAGATCTCCGGAGCTAGGTATTCAGCAGTCCCAAGCCTTCCACTCCCTCCCTGCTCAGTTTCTCTTCCTCCCGCCGGTGAGCTGGGGTGGGGGAAGGGCTTGGGTCCCACTGGGCCATGGCTCTGGTACGTTACCCCATTCGGTGAGGTCTGCTCTTTCCTCCGGGTGTATGCAGTCTGGCCCCATCCTCTTTCCTGTTGCTCTCTCAGGATTAGTTGCACAAGTATATTTTCTAACTGTATCCAGTTTTAGGAGGAAGCCTCTGTCTCTTGTCATGCCACCATCTTTAATCCTCTATTATCACTTCTTGACAAAATTTATTTTATAAGTATGAGTTTAATTAGACACAGCCACAATTTAGCTAATGATGCATTGCCTATTTATTTTGACTTTTTTTTTCTGTTAGCAGTAAAATTGTGGAATCCTCACCCACTTTATAAAAGCAATGTAGTAAAATAAGAAAAGTGCCTAGAAAATTGGAATCCTGTCCTGGCTTTGCCATTATATGAGCTAAGAAAATCATAATCTCTGTCTGATTTTTCATCTATAAAATGGAATATTACATATCTTCTTGATGTTACTGTCATTAGCATAATGTTAAATATAATGTATGTAGAAACTCTGAAGTACTATGAAATCAAATGTAGGGTATTATTGTCTAGAAATACTAAGCATTTTATTATAATTTGTCTATATTTTAACCACAAGCCATATAAAATTATCATAATACATAAAACTAATAGAAGAAAAACAGCTGCATTTTTTCCAAAGAATCTTTACATATAAAATTGTCTGATTTTGTTTTCTAATCTTTCAAAATATTCAGGTAATTAAGAGCACTGTTTTTGATGTCTGTTTCTTTTAGGAGTCTGATCTTATTTGCAAGTTTATCATATATTTATATATGTAAGATTCATATGTAAGATTTTGTAATTTTGACACTGAAACATCAGTTACTTTAGTTAATTGATTTCATAAACATGAAATACCTGGCCAATTTAATTAAATCAGTTAATTTGATATAAGCTATTGGTTCTCAGTCTTCTGTGGACTGCTTCATAGGGCAGAATATCCTGTCTGTCACTTAATTCATCTTTCTTCTCCCTGCCATTGTGAAAAAATGGCTTGCTAGCTACTATACATAACATAAAATTCTCCACTTTAACCCTTTTTAATTGTAAAAGTCACTGGCTTTGAGTACATTTACAATGTTGTGTAACTGTCACCACTATCCATTTCCAGAACTTTATTCTCATCCCAAGCTGAAACTCTGAATCCATTAAACACTAACTCTTCACTCCCTCTCTCCCAACGCCTGACACACACTGTATCTATCTGTTTGTATTTGACTATCTAGACACCTCAATAAATGGAATCATTCAATATTTGTACTTTAATATCTGGCATATTTCACTTAGTATAATTTCAAGATTCATCCATGTACCATGTATCAGAATTTCATTCCTTTTTTTTAAGGCTGACTAATACTCTTACATATTCCACATTTTGTTCGTTTATCTGTCAATGGACTACCTACTACTACTGACAAAAATTTATACGTTGCAGGTAGCATAAATAAGTTATTCATGATGGGATAAGTATAAACATCATTTTTAAAATGACCCTGTAAGTGAACACCTGACTATGCTCATAAATAGCCAGTCATCTGTAGTTGGTACCAGTGAGAGCTTTCTCTTGCTTTGCTATTAAATGTGGCATCAGACATAACTTAAGACATTAAGCTTTAAACTAATTCTTAAATATCTCAATGCCAATGATTTTCTTTTTTTTTCTGTTACAGATCCAGATTTTACCTACTTAGGAGGTATTTTAAATCCCATCCCAGGTTTAGTATATCACCTCTTTTTCCTCATGGCATTTTTGATCATCTTATTTTCCTTTGATCTTCATTCATCTGTTCTTTCTAGATTGCCAGTTTGAGCTCTCAGGAGCTGATGGAATAGTGCGTTCTAGTCAGGTAGAACAAGAAGAAAAAACAAAACCTGGCCAAGCAGTTGACTGCATATGGACGGTGAAAGCTACTCCAAAAGCTAAGGTATTACTGTGTATTGAGTTACTTCAGAGAACAGAATTAGATATAATTTGTATAATGTGTTATTTTGGTTCATATAGATATTTATTTAGATCAACTGATATTACATCTTTATAAAAATTAATTTTATTTCAGTCACATTATTGGATCCCTCCCAAGATCTCAGCATTGTTATAGTTAAATAAATTAAAATATAAGTTTCAGGAATATTGTGCATACATTAAGAATTTTAAGATCTTAAAAATCTGCATATTCCTAATTGGAGAGTGCAAGTATTGATCAGTATGACCATTGATAAATAAAAAACTTTATGAGGAGGAAAAACAGGCCTCAAGAAGTTGAAGTGTCTTGTCAAAGGCCTCAGAGTTGGTCATAGCAGTGTCAAAACCAAAAACACAAATATTTAGAGTTTTAGTTGTGTTCTCACCTTGTTCTCTGCTAATCATGTAGAGTTTCTTTTTGGAAAGCACCAAAGGGAAGGGTGTTTTTTAAAAACTCTGACAAATTGAGACTGGTTGCTAACCACTTTTGCTTTTTTGCTTTTAATTTACTTCTAGGAATATTAATAGAGTTAAAATTATACTTTATGTGTATTTGTACAAAGAAAGGGGAGAGTGACATTAAGAGAACAAACCTTTAAAGAATTATGAAAATCAAATATAGAGATATGGTGGTAGAATGGATTAGATAGCCTGAAAACCTGTTACAAAAGATGTGGAAACATTGGGTAAAATGTAACAAATATCCTTTCAAAAGTACAGATAAACTCCAAAAAAATGTAAAAAGTAATTCTTACAGACTAGAAATGAAGAGAGAACTATAAATCATATTAATAAACTGAAAACTGATGGTATAAATATAATACCCCTTGCTCACATCAGTAACCGGTGACTACTCAGAGTAGATATACCAGGAGCTTCGTATTAATACCCACACTGAGACATAAAAAGCCTGGAGTTCATGTGATCTTTGTGAGATCCCTCACATAGCGCTGGAATCCTCAAAGGGAGATGATTGTCATGAAATGAATGGTGGAGTAGAAAAAAAATCTTCCAACAGAATAGGTTGATACCAAAAATCTTAACTTTCTGAGCTTAGTCTACGGATGGGTGTGAAGCTAGGGTCTCCTCTAAAACTTTACACCTAGAAACCTGTCCTAATTAGAATTTAGGATGTGATTTTGCATTTCATGCTCAATCTAGCAACCTCTTAGCCCAAAAATTAACAAAATGGTACTGGACTCAAAAAAACATTTTGAGGTATCTGGCAAAAATAAATACAGAAATAACCATAGAGACTACAGGATTGTCATAAATAAAACACAGCTTCATAAACTTAAATTTAAATATCATAAACACCTTCATAAACTCATAACCCAAAATTAGAAAACACAGCCCACAAGTAAGACAGCAGATAAAACAAACAGCAGGAAATTTAGATCCCCAAGAACTTGAGTGTTTTGAATATCCTACAAGAAAGAATTAAAAAGATGAGAGGAAAATGACCAGATACACTTTTAAAATAACTACAAAGAACTTCCTCTAGTAAAAAGTAAAGTTACTAAAAGGTAGATCTGAGAAAATTACCCAGAATGTAGCTGTGGGGTGGGGAGGGCAGTTTATTAAGAAAACTTTCCAAAAATTGACAAAAGGTGTTGACATGCAGTGATTCCCAAAGCAAGGAAAAAAATATTCTTTTTTAATGGACACCCAGTTACACTGGCTGAGAGCCAGTTACATTACAGACAAGAAAATCTTTTAAATGACTAGAGAGAAAAGAGAGGTCGCCAACAAAGAGTAACATCAGAATCATCAATACGAAGCCAGAAGACAGTAAAAGAATGTTTTCAACATTGCTGAGAAAAAAATTAATAACTGGTAATCTAAATTCTGAAATTCCATATCCAAGTAAACTATCAATCAAGAACGTGCACAAAATTAAGATATTTCTGGGTAAAAATAATAAATGGACCTAATGCTACAGTTAGAAACCAAATATATTTTAATTTAGGATAACAATAGGAAATTTTGAAAATACAAAACCAAGAAAGGAACACCAGACTAATAGCAAAAGAGAGCTAATAAAGCTATTAAAATAAAATCAAGAAGGTCACTAATTCACAAAAAAAGATAATTTTAAGTTTTATGTATTAATATATTATCAAAATATACAAAATATGAATTGCCAATTGCTGGGAGAAATTGACAAATCCACAATTATAGTGGGTAGATTTTCAGTTCTCAGTACTTAATCATAAAAAAATTCTTGATGCTCAGAATATTTAAAATACACTGTGCCTAATGGGATGTGGTATCTTGCTCCCAACATGAAGAGAATACGCATTCTCTACAAGCACTCATGAAACTTTATAAAGACTCACCCATATGCTAACTAAAAAAAGGAAGTCTGAAATATATGCCAGTGTTTGGTATGCAGAGCATCCTTGAACAAAAATGCGATTAAACTAAGAACCAGCAACCAAAAGATAACTTTAAAGCCCTATATGTTTGGAAATTTAATGATACACGCTTAGTAATTCATGGGTCATAAAAGAAGTCAGGATGGAAAATCAAACACTGAAATTTAAAACTCAATAATGAAAATACTGCATATCTAAATTTGTGGGATGCAGCTAAAAGTACTTTGAGGGAATTTGTGACCATAAATGCTTCCTTAAAAAGAAGAAAAAGAAATTCAGTGAGCTAAGATTCAATTCAAGAAGTTAATAGAAGGGCAAAAAAATCTCAGAGTAATTTAAAAAGCAGAAATACGGAAACAAAGTTACAAAAAGAATCAACAAAACCAAAAGCTGGCCCTTTGTAAAAGATAGTAAGCATACATCTGGCAAGATTGACTTGGAAAAAAAGACAAATAATATTAGAAAAGGAAAAGGTAATGAATTAACTACAGCAGAGATTAAATACTATAAAATAGACTATGAAGACCACTGAACAACAACAAAATCCTGAGTATTTCTTCAATAAATAACTGACAAAGGGAAAAAGAAAAACATCAGGGGAATTTACAGATTAAAAGAAATGAATTGACAATTGCTGGGGGAAATTAAACATGTCATTGTTGACATGAATTAAAAGGCAAATGAACTTGTGGATTCAAATTATAAAAAGGGACATTCAGAGATAATTAGAAGTCTGAAACTGACTGGCATGTGATACAAAGAAATTATTCACTGGTTTGATAACAGGATTGAGGTTATTTTTTAATTGGTCTGTTTTTCATGAAATGGAACTGTTTTTCATGAAATGCTGTTCTCAGATTTGTCTCAAATAATATGTGAGAGGTGGAAGTGTGGAGGGATATAGTTAAAGCATGATTGGTTCAGTTGATAATTGTTAAAGTTAGGGGATGGGTTTATGATATTGTTTTGTCTGTTCTGGCATATTTGAAATTTTCCATAATCAGAGTTTTTTAGACTATAAGAGAATATTATGAATAATATTTTGCTAATAAAATTGTAAACAGTCTAATGGACAATTTCCTGAAATACGTAATGTATGTGTGTGTGTGTGTGTACATACAAATTTAAATATATATATGTAATATACCAAAATTACATCAAAGAAATAGAAACTCTTGCCACATTAACAAAATTGATTTTGTATTTAAAATATTAGCAGAAAAACTGGCCAGATTAAATTCTACCAAATACTCAAGGACAATGTCATATAAACTGTCTTAAAAACTGAAGATTTAGAAAGAACATTCTACAGCCTGTTCTATCAAAACTAAATAGATAGCATAAGAGAATTATAAACCAGGATTATTTATAAAATGAAGTGGGGAAAAAAAGACCCAAAAAACTAAGCAATAACAAACTAAAGAAAGTGGTTTTTTTGTTTGTTTTTAAGAAATCATGACCAATATGGACTTATCCTAGAAGTTTTTGGACATCTTAATATAAGAAAATCAAATGATATAGTTTATCATTTTAACAGGTTAAAGGAGAAAATCCAAATATATCAATATATGCAGAAAAAATATTCAATAAAACTTAAAACCTATTGATAAACAAAAAGCTCGAAAAATTCCAACATAGGAAGATGCATCTTCAGCATAGTGAAGACTATTACTAAAACCCTAAGACAACATCATAACTGTGGTATCTTAAAGCCATTTCCTTTAACCTCATGAACAAGTCAAAGTTGTTTATTGTCAATATTTTGCTTGATGGTGTTCAGAAATCTTAGTCAATGCAACAAGGTCAGAGAGAAAAAAATAATTTTATCAATTATAAAAATAAGTTGCTTTTCTGTACGACAACCAAAAGCAGTTTGAAAATAAAGCTTTTTAAAACGCCATTGCAATAAGAACAAGTCATAAGGTATCAGGAAGTAAATTTTAATATGATATTGAAATACATAAAAGAAGGCCTAACAGAAATCAGGAGGGAGAGAGACACACTGTTCTTGTGGATAGGAAATTCAAATTCACAAAAATGTTCATTATTCTCAAATCTATCAATTTAGGATAGTACCAATCCAGATCTCAGGAGGACTATCTTTGGATCTTAATAAGCTAGTTTTAAAATTCACATAGAAGAGGAAACAGTCCAGAAGAACCATGGTAATTTTGAATAAAAACGAAGTGGGGATATTTAACTTTCAAGATAACAGTTGTGGTAGTTGGAGAGAATGCAGTTGTCACTGGGTTGTACAAACTAGTAAAACTGAATAAAATGTGTGAAAATGGAACTACATGTATGGAAGCTTGGTATACAGTGTTACAAATGTGTAACATTCCAGATCAAAAGGAGACACTTGATAATTGACACTACAGCAACTGACTTGATGTTAAATCCCTTAGACTTGATATAAAATCAATTCCTAAATATTAAAACTAAAAGTTAAAGAAATTCTAGGAGTATAGTTCTATAACCTTTGGTTAGGAAACAGTTTACTAAAAACAGAAGACACAATGTACATACCATAATGATAAAATTAATCAATTTTACTACATTAAAATAAGCTCAACTTCCAGAACCA